GGGGGGGGCGGGGGGGTTGTCTTATCAAAACTTGATAAGCACACTAAGTAGAAAACCCAACAAAACAACCAACGTGTTCTCTTTAACAGTACAACGCGAGCTGCGCGGGGGAATACACCCAAGCACGGAAAAGGGATTTAAAACTGGGATTTTGTTTTGGCCAGACTTAAGTCTGGGGGTCGGTCTGCAGCATTCCGGTTCCAGGCTCAGGCAGGATTCGCACGTACCGCCCCCCCCCCAGCTGTCTGGTAGCTGTTACCTGTTCCCGCTCTGGTCCTTCATCCTCTAAATAATGGACCTTGGAACAACACGAATCATGACAAACTCCAAGCCCTGCAGTGCTTCGGGGACTGGATTTGGCAGTTGGATGAGGCTGCACCAGACAGAGCCTCTTGCTCTGCTCCTTTTCAATCCTCTTTGGGTTTTTTACGGAGTTTAGCCCGGTCTGGCAGGGTGGAGACGCTGAAGTCCTGTCCCAGGCACCAGCACTCGATGCGGGGGGATGAAGCGGCCGGTTTATTTTGCTGGAAACGGAGCGTTAAAGCGTTTTTGGCTTCCCCAGCCAAGCTGGGGAAGATGTGAATTTTTGAAAAATCTTGCATGAAATGGGAGATGGACATGCTGTTCTCTCCGGAGCAGCTTCCAAACCGAATGTCAGACTTGGCCTTTCCGAGGGAGGTTTCAAAAGCCTGGCCAGAGTCTTGGAACTCACTGGCAGTTAACGGGGGGGAACTGCTCAGCTTCTCCCTCAAGAGCCCTGCAAACAGAAGTCAGTTTTAACTAGGCCTGTGTTTAAGTCTTGGTTAATCAGATCTGTGTTTAAGGCTTTGTTAACCAGACCTGTTTAAGGCTTGGTTAGTCAGAGCTGTGTTAAGGCTTGGTTAGTCGGATCTGTGTTAAGGCTTTGTTAACCAGACCTGTTTAAGGCTTGGTTAGTCAGATCTGGGTTAAGGCTTTGTTAACCAGACTTGTTTAAGGCTTTATTAACCAGACCTTTCAAGGTTTGGTTAGTCAGAGCTGTGTTTAAGGCTTGGTTAACCAGACCTGTGTTTAAGGCTTGGTTAACCAGACCTGTATTTAATCCTCTGAACCAGAGCACAGATCCAGCCCCAACCAGCAAAAGCTCAGACTAGGATTTGGCCTCAGGCAGATAAAGGGGTCTGCCCCTTGGCTGTGCCTGATTTACACCACCCAGCTCCCTCCGCAGCCGTCCCCGTCCTCCCCAGCACGGTTACTGGGGACAATTCTTGGGATTTCGGGTAGAGCGGGGGGCTGAGTAGCCCTTTGGGGCAGCAGATCCCTCAGAGCTCACCGTTCCTCGGGGAAAACCTGGAACAGGAGGAAGGGCTGAGCAGAGTGACGGTGGGGGCTGCGGTTCTGGGGGGGGGTTTGGGTTTTGGAACAGCGACGCTGGAACGAATTGTCGCTGAAACAAAAATCTCGATATGCACTATGGGGTTTCTAAATAAATAGTTCCCTATTTAGGGAACTAAATCTAGAGATTAGAGCTTAAAAAAAATGCCTTTTCTGACATTAAAGCTCAAGTTCACTCAAGAAAACAGCGACTCGGTGAAGGTAATTCCCACATCCCCTCCTGCTTTTCCAAAACGTAGCCCGGAAGAGCCAGCAGCGTCTCGGCAGGAATATAAATTGCGGAAAAATTTCTTCTTTCAGCGCAGCTTTGAGCTTCCTCTGGTTCTTTTCCCCGCGGTAAAGGTTACAAAACCTTCGGGACTCTGCTATTTCCATGGACAGTTTCCCCCCTCTCCCCTCTCCTTTCTCGGCACCAGCCTCTCGCACAGTATGTTTGCCCGCAGAGGCAGGTGGATATTCGAGCAATAGTCTTTGTTTTGAGATGGAAATTTAAAAAAATTGCATTATCTGTAGGTATTCTAGTTTTGTATTCTCATCCTAACAAGCCTATTTGGGTTTTTTTTTTATATATATTTTTTTATATGCAGTCTCTTTACACGACAGTATTAATGTTTAACACGTTTATAAATATGATTGTAAATGGTGTGGAGTTTAATTTTTTTTTGTTTTGGTTTTTTGGTTGTTTTGGGTTTTTTTTTACGGGCAATATCTAGACCTTGCATTTGGATTTAATCCCTTGCTCTAGTCTTAACAGCTCTCTACCAGCACTTCCACACCTGCCTGTAGCATTCCGTCGCGTGAAAGGGTGATTTATCCAACGGCCTGACCTCAGAAATCGGCAAACTCCCGAGAAACCTCACAGCACCTCCCTCGTCACGCGCCTGCCAGCACTCCTCCGTGCTCTTCGCTTTTCGAGGCGTTTCCGAGGGGTTTTTTTTGCGCGTCGCTTTTAGCCAAAACCTTCCGCGACTCCGTCCTGCAGCACCGGGTTGCCCACGAGCTCTTTTCAAGACGCCTCGTTGCTGTCGGCAGCCGCTCGCGAACGGATCGGGGAGATTTATGGTGTTTCCATCCAGCCTGGAGGAAGGGAAAAGGAAAAAAATGATGTTGTGCGTGACTTGGGTTTGTGGCGATCTGGGCACCCGTGTTGAGTCTCCGCATCGGCTTGGAAGGTGATAAAGTGAAGAAATCCAGGTTTTTCTCGGCATCCAAAGGGGTTGTTCTCCTTATTCAGGCTACGTAATTAAATGGAAAGCTGAAAGGATAAATCACACCGCGACGATGCCGTTTGTATGTACGATTTTATACAATAAAGCGATAGATTTTGGGGTAGCTGTGGCGGCTTCTCTCAT